ATTAGTCCTAAATAGTACAAAATAAACAGAACTTTAATTGTGGATGCAGTAGAGGGTTGATTGTTGTTGTGTTGTGGTTGGTTTTGCATGAATGGCTTCTTTGATGCTGAGTCCTAGGGGAATATAACATTGGCTATAAAAAAACTTAATTTCTCAAATTCCAAACAGTTAACTTTAAACGACCATCGATTATACACTGACAACCATGTGAATAAAAAACAAATAAATAAAATAACCATTATTGCTTATGGAAAGTGCTGTGTCTGCATCGACATAGCTCCAACAGATTCCAATAGCAGTAGTGGCTAATCGAATCAAAACTCTTGAGTCTGGGCTGGGCACGGTGGCTCACGCCTGTAATCCTAGCACTCTGGAAGGCCGAGGCGGGAGGACTGTTAGAGCTCAGGAGTTCGAGACCAGCCTGAGCAAGAGCGAGACCCTATCTCTACTAAAAAATAGAAAGAAATGATCTGGACAACTAAAAATATATAGAGAGAGAAAAAATTAGCCAGGCATGGTGGCACATGCCTGTAGTCCCAGCTACTCGGGAGGCTGAGGCAGAAGCCCAGGCAACAAAGCAAGACTCTGTCTCAAAAAAAAAAAAAAAAAAACTCTTGAGTCTGTTACCCTGCTTGGGAACATCTTATTTCTTCTTCATTTTTCATCAAGCAGAGTAGATACAAGCATCGTTGTCATGCATGACCCAGAGGAGATTTATATCCTCAATTTCTGACTCTCTTTAAACTTTCAAATCTTTGCCTGTTTTGATCAATCTTACAGGCCAAAGCAGTGAAAAAAAATCATTTTTAACTAACAGTTTCAATTTGTGTTACATATTCTCTACATATTTAAATTCCACTTCCCAAAATATAATTTTGAATTTTTGTAAGAAGGCTTCAAATGCCAAAATTCTTATTTTACTTAGAATGACCAAAAAGTGTCATTTGGCAGACTTAGTTTATTATAACAGTGGTAGCACAAAGGTGCCATTTACAGAGAAAATGTGACCTTTTCTTTAGTTATTGCAGACTACAAATGATTTTAAAATATATATTTTTTTTAATTCACAAAGTCTAATAAGTCATTTTACATATAAAACTCAATATTCTTAGAATAGGGAGGTAGTAGGAGTTGTGAGTTGTGGGCCATTAAAATCTACAAAGAGGGTCTTCTAAATGCAGTTAGAGGTTCACAGTTTTCCCAGATCCTTTTACAGTGAAGAGTTTCCTATTGTTCCAGAATCATTAAAAGAACAAGACTTTGTTAAATTTTATATTGGGATCCATCCAAGACTCAGTTTACAACTATGAATAATGGGGTGAGTTTTTTAAAACTAAATAACGCTATGAATCTTACAGTGAGCAAAGATGAGAATTTAGATCCTCCTTATACACCTACATTTTGTTTCTACCAAGAAATGAGAATGTGCTACTAGTAAATTGAAACTAAAATATTCAATTTCATTGATGATACTTCAGGGTAAAAGAAAGACATCTTTACTTGTGCTGGAATTCACAGAGTTAGGAGTATTTGAAGAAAATAATGGAAGTCTTCTGATCATTGGATTAGAACAGGGATCACTAGACAGGAGCAGATGTCCAGAATGATGATGTCACTTAAAATATTTAGGAGCAAGGGTGCACTATCTGGGGGCATAGTAAGAGTGGAAGGAAAGAACGTTCCAAAGTTCTCATATCAGTGCAGGAGATGGGGATTAGGCATATCAGGGAAAGGCATTGTCTTTATTTATAAATAAATAGACATTCAATTAATTCTCTGAACATGATAATGATGTAGTAAATTAAGAAGTATGATCAACCTTCCAAATTAACCAGAGGGAAAGAAGAGAATTAAAAGAAACTTCATCATGCCAGCAAAAACTAAAGAGAAAAAGAAGATACAACAACAAAGGAAAATAAGTGGTAAATAAACATAATATTGAAGAAATAAAATCAAGTATAGACTTATCATGCTGAGTGGGAATGATCTGAATTCATCTATCAAAAGAAAAGATTGACAGTTGGGATCTTTTTTTTTAATCCAGCATGAATACTGGCAGGGAGTGCTGCCAGGAGACATTTATGCAGAGTCCTGGCGAGGCTGGGAGGGGCTGGAAGGTCCACCTCCACAGACTTTCTGAGCACCAGGGAAGAGAAGATGCTGGAGACTCCACTGGGCTGTTTTCCCTGAGGTGGTGGAATTCAGGAATCCCTGCTTCAATGCCTGGGTGACAAAGCAAGTCTCAAAGTGGCCCTGAGCAGTATCCTCCCCACTTCCTCGCTGACCATATCATGGGACATACAGGTTTGTCAGACACCATTTGCTGGCAGTCATGCCCACTCTAGTGCACACACTTTCACAGTCAACTTTCTAAAACCAGAATTCATCAGGTCACTTGCAAGCTCCCCACTGCCATTAAAATCTACAAAGAGGGTCTTCTAAACGCAGTTAGAGGTTCACAGTTTTCCCAGATCCTTTTACAGTGAAGAGCTTCCTATTGTTCCAGAATCATGAAAAGAACAAGACTTTGTTAAATTTTATATTGGGATCCATCCAAGACTGGAAATCACCAAGACTTCCAACCTTCTTAATTGACCAACCAAATAACAAAGTTGATCAGAATTTCTCTCCCTTGAGATTTACATTACATCTCTGCAACTTCAACAAGGTTTGGAAAGAATGTGGATGTTGGAGTTCTAGTTTTGGTTCTGTCCCTAATTACTGTGTAACAAATCACTTTGCGTCTCCTGGTCTGAGATTCTTCAAACACTGACTGATGGCAAGAATACCTACATCTTCATGGCATGAGAAAGTAAGTCTACATAGCTGAGAGGATTAAAAATATGACAAAGAGGACCTGCAAAGTACTTAGTTTACTTGAGTTTGGCTCTTTGTGTTTCGAGCTTTTAAAATGGTAGATGCTGGATACATGTATTGTGGTGATGTTTTGATGATTTTTAGCAGATTTATTATCACCATTCAGCCACTCATGCCTCAGTTTTGCAACATGTCAAACAACATGCCACATAGCCTAGTTTTCTGCATGATGAGAGTGAACATTGATTTTACTCATTTAGAATCTAAGATGAATATTATTCCACAAGTACAATTATTCATCAGCTTGGTCTAGCAACTTGAAGTAATCCTACCTAGGGCTGGATCTATCCTTCCACAGAAATAACAGCAATACCAATTCAAATCTTCTGGGCACAATACTACCACCATAACCGCCCAAAATGATTTGGTATAGTGGAATTCTTTTTAGCAGTACAAACAAACCCATCAATGACTTAGACAAATGTTCTTAGAAGAAAATCCAAAATCTTTAGCATATCTCATGTGGTCTAAATGGTGTGGCTTTTCTCCAGCCTAATCTTGCACCAAACCCAACCTCTTCCTTTTCTGTGCTCAGACACATCTGCCTTCGTCCAGTTCCCTGAACTTACATCATTTCCTCCTGCCACAGGTCCTTTGCACTTACTCTTTCCATGGTCTGGAATGTTCTTCCCCACTTTCCTATCATTGTCTCGTTGATTCCTACTTGTCCTTCAAATCTCACTCAGCTCAAGTGCCACTTCCACAGCAAAGACTTCTATGAATTGTGCTCCCCAGCCCCACGCACACACCCACCTAGGTTAGCCAAGCTCCTTGTTACGTTCTCTTATAGAACTGAGTTTTGCCTATAATTATCATTAATTTGGGGGATTATTTGATTAATGTCTCTCTCCCTACATTTAGTTAGCTTTAGGAAAACAGGGACTGACTGTTCTGCTCATCATTTTACATACAGCAGCGAGCATAGTACCTCCTGCACAGCAAGTGCTCGGAGCTGCATGAATGAATGGATGAATGAATGAACAAATACCAATTTTGAAGCTATTCACATGTCATTCATGCTGCTAAAGGACTTCATGAGGCCATAGAAAAGGCAAAGTTAAACAGGCAAATAGCCCAGAACTGCCCTTGGGACCCTAATTTACCTTCCTAATTCCAAGTAGACCCTAATTCCTCATTCCTCTTTATTTAAGAGCATTTGAATCACTTTGAGTGAGCACAAGATCAAACATTTGATCAATTTTATTTTGTTTTTTTAATTTTTTATAAAAATAAGCAAAGTCTGTTTTTTGTACCTCTGAAAAATTTACTCCTAGACAGGATTGTAGCTACTAAAAGTTCTGCCTTCACTTTTAGTGTTAATAGAACTTCCCCAATTAATATAACCTCACTTTGCTTTTTCCAGCCTCAAGAACAGCGATCAGATTCAAAGAGAACATAAAAGTAATACAAAAATTTCCAGAATAAAAAGCAGTAGAAACACGTGTATCAACTTACACTGTATGTAGCATTATTTAAACTGTTCATATAGAGTCTGACATGTACCATCCACAAGAAAGAATCAAGGATTCCAGTATGATTTCTTTTAATGTATACAAGGGCTAGGAAGTATTTTTACATCATCCAGTCTCCTCCTTGGCCTTTCAGGGGAACCCTGGTACTTAATGTCAATAAAAACTCTATGGCAGCCTGGGCATTTCAGACGACAGACCATACCAGTAAGATTAAAATCAAATCCTTCTTTTCAAAGCCCTTCCATTTTATTTTCTACCACAGAAAAGATTCCCAGTCTAAATGCCAGGGCTATTTAATTTTCATTCTGTTGACACAAGTCATTTTGCCTTTCATCTTTCTCTAAGAACAGTAAGCCATTCTGCTACTTTATCCACTGACAGGTAACTCCAAGCAGGTAATTTTAAAATTTAATGGTCTGATGAAACATTTTTTTCATCTTAAAACACAGTATCAAAGGCAGCAATGCAAACTCAATGCCATCCACAGCGACATGAGTGACATGGTGCCCTTGGCCATGTACTTGGGCTGTTCTGAAATTGTTCCTACTCTCAAAAAAACTTTCTTTTTGGTGCCAAATATTTCTACCTTTGATTTTTCTTAATGTTCACTTGAATTATAACTCAATAAGGAATATTCAATAGGCCACTTACCTGCTACAACTTCAATTTGGAAGCAGAAGAGAAAGAAACACCAGAGGTCTGATTTCATGTTTGCCAGAAACAGATATAATCCTCTTGTTCAGTGTTCAAAGCTGACAGTGAATTCACGTTCTTGGTTGTTTTCTATTTGCTGGAAAGGAAGTGGGTTTTCTGGGACCTGATGTAGTGTCACATTTACCACCAACTCAAGGGGGTGTCTTTCTTTGATGTCAATGGCTATACAGAAGGCATTATTGCTTCAGGGGGTTAAATGCTTAATCCATAGATTATTAATGATTTTGGAGACAGCAGGAAATTTTACCCTTATTCTCGTTAAAGAGACAATGCCTATTTTTTTAGAACTACCCTACTTCTTCTAGTCAATAGCTGTTGGATATAAGAGGATCTAAAAATACCCACATGATGAATAATACATATATTTTGATACATTTCTATCTTTTCCTGTTTTCTCCAGAGGTGTGAAAGCCTTTGAAATAGGACAAGAAGTAAATAAAATTGTTACAGAAATTAAATGAAGAGATCTGAAACAGGTGCATCATGGGAATCCAGGAAGTAATATTTACATGGCATTCATGGTAAATTGTAATTTTCCAAATGATGGGGCCAGTTTTAAACTAACCTAAACCCTGTTCCACATATTACAGCAGTCTGTAGAAACCAGGCATTCCACTCCTCCAGACTCAGGTGAAAACAAGAACATTGAAAAGCCTACCATGCTTTCTCCGCCCCTGCATAAAGATAAAGTAGATCATAACAATAACAATATAAATAATTATTTTTATATGTACGTCAATGTTTTATATGAAATAATACATCTTAATGCAAAATGTATAAAATTAAATGTAAAATAATATATACTTAATATGTATAAAATATATTATGAATATAGCTAATATTACATTTATACTGTTTTACATGTATTTAAATGGTTACTATTTGTATATCTACATTTATAGTATTATATACAACTATTAGTTCATTTAATCCTCTTAGCCATCACAATGGAAATCACTAATATCCCATTTTACAGATGAGAAAACTGAGGCACAGAGAGGTTAAAGTGCCTGGACCAAGTCATATAGTTAGTAAGTGTCAGAGCTAGGATTTTGAGAGTCTGGCTCCAGAGCCCTCACTCTTAACCAAAGCAGGTAGAACCACTCATGCCAAAGCCTGCAGATCCTTACAATCCGGAGGCCTGAACCAGCTTCCAGAAGGCTAGATTCAGGCTGCACTTCTGGGCAGTGACCCATCCTCAGCCTGCAGAGATAATGTCTAGGTAAGAAGCTGAAATCAGCTGGGCAGGGCTATCGAAGTGTAAGTCCAAAATGTCCAGTCTGAAGCAGAATTCAGGCTTGGGGCTTTAGAACAGCAATTAGAGATATTGGACTAGAGCCACAGGCTTCAAAAGGCCTAGAGGAGGCTGATCCTGCAGCAATTTCCCCAGCTGCCAGGGCTTCCCCTAGGTACCTTTCATAGGTCTCCTGGGTCTCAGCAGTGGATGTGAAAGAAGTTATTTGAGGGACCGAGCTAGCCTGAGCAGCAGAGACCAGGCCTCCGGGACCCCTGGGAACTTGCTACTCCGATTTTTCCTGCCTTTCCTTTTCACTGCAACTTCCCCCTCCCCCGGCCCTGCTGCCCCTTGCATCAAGAGGAGATGCTTCCAGACCCATTGGCACGACGCTGGAGTCTTTTTCCAGCAAACAGATGGGCAATGGGGAATAATTGCCTTTTTTTTTTAACCTAGTCGTGATCTAGCTCTGGAACTAAGTATGGGGATAAAAGCTGCCACAAATTCTCGAGCTCCACCGCTGTTGCGCAGTGGGAGATACAAGGCAGGAACCTAATCATGAGCACTAATTGAGTACATGCTGTATGCCAGGCATTGTGCTACACATACATTAACTCATTCATTTTTCATAACTCTATGAGGAAGATCCTATTATTATTTCCATTTCATAGATGAGGAAACTGAGAGTTAGAGAGATTAAGTAATTTGCTCAGGGTCACATAGCTAATGAGTGATGGAGCCAGCTCAAACCCAGACAATGAAACTCTGGATTCTATGCTCCTAATTACCACACTACAGTCACGTGCTAGTCCTTATTTATCTGGGCAGAAATTACTGGTAACATTATTTTTTTTTTTTTTGGTCTCATATATTAATTGAAGAAGGGTACTCAGGTCCTAATTTAGTGCCAAAATATTGAATGCAAAAACGATTTCCGAATAAAACTCAGGTGCAATGTTTCTACCTCAAGGAGAGAAAATTTGCCCAAGTTAAGGTTGAATTCAGCTTTAGTTCAACTGCTTATATGTTGTTTTTATTTGATATGAATCTGTTTGTTTTTTCCCAACCATCTCGCTTCTCGGTTTATAGGACATTTGGTGGTAACCGATCTAAAAGTGGGGCAGAGCTTGCTTCTATGTAAATGGTGTTTTATTTCAAAGCTGTGATCCTTGCCATGCCTTGCCTTCTCGAAAATCTTAGTCAAGAATACAATTACTTGTGGTTTTAAATATTCAGAACTACTTCTCATGTCTGGAAAATAAACTAGGCAAAAGTTTCCATTCACCCCACAGGAAGCACTTTTTGTTTGCTTTAATTTTTTTTTACTTTTTTCATTCCATGACTTAAGAGGGTTTTGATTTATGTGTGCAGATGCCTGGGGTGAGGGTGGGGTGTGGAAAATTTGTTACATTAAAAGGGGAATGTTTATTATTTCTTTGCCTTGTGGGCACCAGAGTTGGTAATGCCGTAGGCTTGCTTTTCTGAAGGGCCACAGGTGAATGTCGTCTTTCTTTTGCTTCGCTTGAAACTTACTGAAAGCAATATTTGCCTGAGTAGAAGAACTCACACCTTTGGGTAATTTAAGTACAAACAATAGGGTTTAAAAGCATCCCCAAAATATCTACAATTCCCCCAAACTTGGTTTGCCACTGTGAAGTAGATGAGCATAGAAAGAGTCCTTCCTAACCAAAATTGTTTCTCCTGCCACCTTGCCCATACTGTTGAAGGGCCCCCGCACCCAGCCCTCTCCCTTCTCCCGTTGATTCACCAAGAAGTCCTGATGATTCCACTTCCTAACTGTCTCCCAAGTATTTTTTCTTCCTCTCTTGCCAGTGGCACTGCCTTAGATCAGGCCTCTAGCATTTCTCCCCTGGTCTTTCTGTCTCCACTCTTGTCCTGTTTCAGTCTGACTCCATGCTACAACCAGAGCAATCTTTGTAAAATGTAAATCTAATTCATCTGCATGCCCCTGCTGAGCACCCTCCACTGGCTTCCTGCCCATCTTAGAGAAGCCCTAAACTCCTTAAAGACCCTTTAAGGGCAATTCCTTCTCCAATTCAACCTCATCTTTCATAGCATTTGTTCTTTATTCTTTCTGCACCAAATGCTTCAGTCACATTAAATGACATGGAGTTCTCCAAATTCCCCAAGCAACTGCAAACAAGTACAACCTCTATGGAAAGCAATATGGAGATACCTCAAAGAACTAAAAATAGACCTACCATTTGATCCAGAAATCTCACTATTGGCTATTTACCAAAAGGAAAAAAAGACATTTTATAAAAAAAGACACTTGCACTCAAATGTTTATAGCAGCACAATTCACAATCGCAAAGGTGTGGAAACAGCCCAAGTGCCCATCAATACATGAATGGATTAATAAAATGTGGTATATGTATACCATGGAGTACTACTCAGCCATAAAAAACGGTGAACTAATACCTTTTGTAACAGCCTGGATGGAACCGGAGACCATCCTTCTAAGTGAAGTATCACAAGAAAGGAAAAACAAATACCACATGTACTCACTGTTAAATTGGAACTAAATGATCAACACTCGTGTGCACATGTGGTAGTAAAATTAAACAGAAATCAAGCAGGTGAAAGAGGGTAGGAGGGGATAGATAAATTCACTCCTAACGGGTACAATGCACACTATCTGGGTGATGGGCACACTTATAACTTTGACTCAAACTGTACAAAAGCAATTCATGTAACCAAAACATTTGTACCCATTTGTAATATTCTGAAAAAGCAAAAACAAAAAACCCCACAAATTCCCCAAGCAAACTCTTCCTCCTACTGCTAGGAGCATCTTCTTCTTGCTACTTGCCCTCCTCACCACCTCGGTGTACCTTCTTGGCAGACATGCTGCCATTCTTGAGGCCTTTGCTTCTACCCCCATTGATTCATTGAAGACACCTTCCCCAACCCATTTCATTCACTACCAGCCACTTCCACAGCTGGTGTCCTTTGGGTGGCTTTTCCACACCCTCCCAATGCCACTGTCCCTCTGTGTCACCTATCCTAGAACTCATCGTACTACTGTAATGGCCTGTTTGCTTCCTTGCAGCCTCTACTGAACTGTGAGCAACATCAGAACAGGGACTGAAGATGCCTCTTTGCAGCCTCCTCTGCAATGCCTAACACAGCGCCTGGGACACAGCGAATGCTCCATAACTATTTGTTGAATAAATGAGTGTTTGAAGAATCCTTCACTTGTGGAGGAACCATATCACCTCAGGAATGCTCACCAATGACCATTTTGCTCTTTGAATCATAATGTGACAGCAGAGATTTATCACGATGTGTTTGTATTTCACATTGAAATTAATTTAACAAATATAATAATTCATCATCCTGATTCATCTTTCATCTGATCATTGGCCCATCCTAATCATCAAACAAAAGAATATTCTATTTTAACAGCCAAATATTTTCTCATTTTAAGTTATTAATTAATCCATGAAGCCCAGAAAACTATTAATAATTGTACAATTCCATGGAAGGTGAAAAAAAATCACAGAGTGAGATGTGATTATAAAGTGATATAATTGATATTTTTAACAAATTTACCTCCACTTAGTCCTGTGGGCCTTCATTCCAGTGATGGTGCCATTGCTCAGAACATCAATAAGGCACCTCTCTGGATCCCACTCCCTGCAGCCTCCCAGGGTTCTGGCTGTTTTGGTCCTGTCGTTTGCCCCCGAATCACCATGCCGAAGCTCCTTTCCTTGTGTTTATGAACATGCTAGAATCTCTCCAGTCAGTCACACACACACACACACACACACACACACACACACACACACACACACACTTCCTCAGACTCTGCAAACCCTCC